ATCCACAAGGACAAATCGTTTCACTGTGATGTTTGCAACGTGTGTCTGGACAAACGGCTTGAAGGGAAACATAAGTGCAGGCCAGATTCTGGACACGACGAGTGTTGTATATGCTTAGAGGTAGGTGAAGACTTACTATTTTTCACCAAGAAGACTTGATTACAAGTACATCCGCGACAGTTATGCATCTCTTGTCGAATAGTCAAACTTGTATTGTTGCTTAACTTGCACGAAGTTGACAAGGGAGGTGCAAATAAATGAGCTCTGGGGACTAAGTCCTGTTTTGTTGATATGGTGGAACACCTGCATCAAGCTTTAGATTTTTCACTTGTCCCTCGGGGACGGAGAAATGTGCAATGGTTAATACATTATAAAATTCCCCGTTATTTGTACCCCGCCGGTGCTGACAGTTGCACAATAATTGACGGCTTAATCTCGACTACAAATAAAACCTTTCTTTCTGAATACCAAACTTTTATACGCTTCTAACAGATAGTTTTGACAAACCCAGTTTGCACAGTAGCAAAGTGTGCTGCCATATTTATAGTACATGCGTTTTGTTCACTGACAGCCAGCTAGGTGAAACGGGACTACGCATGTTTACGTTGTAATTAAATCAATTTTGTGTATTCTTCACAGGATGCGTTCAGCGGTTGTCAGATCCTGCCATGCTCCCACAAGGTCCATAAGGAGTGTGCCATTGCTATGATTCAGAACGGAGTGTAAGTGACCAACAGCAGTAGATAAACAATTGATAAATAATAATGATTTATGGAATATCCACATAGTGGTGCTTTGTCGGCCATTTCTCATTGAATTGGAATCTGGAAATGTTGTTTTTGAGGAGATGGAAAAACCGGAGTACCAAGAAAAAACAAAAACAAAAACAATAGAAGGGCGTGCACCAAAACTCAACTGAATCTAGCGGCTTACGAGTGCTTTTACCACTGCGCAGCCCCTGCACGGTAGATCCGGGGGATGGGAGGGGTTGAGCGGGTTTAGCCTTTCCCTACTATTTCCAAAAAGACAGAAAGACAGTCTGTTCTAGACTAAAAGGTCGTGCAGTAAAAAGTGATGCAAAAATTGCGCGGGGTCTGGGGAGAGATGGGCTCCAGATCGCGCGCGTCTTATTTTTTGGACTTACAGAGAGGAAACTCTCCGCAACTTCTTCCATTTCAAGCCCGAGACCGAAGTGATTGAGACAATTTGTTTTCTTATGTTTGCTTCTTTCTGTTTTTCAGACGAAACTGTCCGATATGCCGCCATCCTTTGTTTAACCAAGACTCACAGTAGAACCAAAGAATCAGAGACCGTTCAGAAAAAACCTGGATTTTGAAAGACTTCTGTTAGTGCAGTTGCCAAGATGCGAATTGTACGATTTAGAGGAGAAAAAGGTAGCTAATTTGTTGTCAGATGAAGAACCAAAGAATAAGAGACCGTTCAGAAAAAACCTGGATGTTGAAGGACTTCTGTTAGTGCAGTTGCCAAGATGCGAACTGTACGATTATGAGGAGAAAAAGGCAGTTAATTTGTTGTCAGAACAATGTCATGTTAAAAGTTGGGTTTACTTTTACAAAAGCAAAATGGATAAAAAGTTTCATAGTTATCCTAAAAAGTCCATTATTCAAAATACAGGCCGTTATCAGGTCTTATCAATACTTTAAGCTAAAATGAGTTGTTGTTTACTCAGTGGCTTGTAGACTCAAAATAAAAAGGATCAGTTCCTAGGGACATCAGTTGCAGCAGCCAAGAAAATTGGCAAAACAGTAGAGCAAAGACCTCAAGAAAAGCTTAAGCGCCTTTCCTGTTTACCGCAAACGTACGAGTCAAAGCTAAGCAAAAAACGCAGTCCGCCTTGAGCAAAGGCATGACTTTATCAATTTAAGCACGGAGCATAGCTCGGGGAACAAGCAAATAAATAAAAATAGATAAAACAGGAATCGTTAAGTTAATGTTTCGTGGAAACACTTACGCCCTTTATTGTTTTTGGTACGTTGCGTTTTTTCAATTTTGGTTTTATTGGTTGAAGGTAGGCAAAAGCCATACTAAATTGAATGATTATCTCGCTTAATTATCACTTTGTGGCTCTAGGTTTTAGTTCAAACTATTTGGACTATAATACCAGGGTATCTTAACAAGTTTAAATTTTTACAAATGTGTTTCAAAAATGTTGAAACTCGTATGAGATTTTTATTCAGTGAAATATATTTTTTCCCACTTTTATAAGAAGATTAAGACATCTCTACCTTACAGGCACTGGTTTCTCCAGGCCGGATTTTACGGTACGAAGAAAGAGAAACGTATCGTAGTGTCCGGTCTGAAGAAACCACTGCTCGCAGGGTAAGGTATATCTAACGCACCCACTATAGCAGGTCTGGCGACAACTTTATTTAGCCCATCCTGCGGACACAGGCGTAATTCCGGTCGTCGCTTCTCTCCACTCGAACAGTAACAATTAATTCACTTATCTGTATTACATGTAGAAAAAATAAAGATGGTTTAAACCCAGAAAATCGGTCCATAGCCTTGCTGCCCTATGGCACTGTTTATTATGCTGTACTGTGTACAAGGTGGTTCTAACTTTCGAACCCGTGGGTGAAGTCCTATGGTGTTATAATACTAATGAAAGCTACTGAGCAGTACTTTGCTGTGAGGCTGTTTATTGCACTCTTAATAGTGATTCTAGCTTTTGGACCTATCCATGATACCCTTTTAAACTTTTAGATGTGAGCATAAATAACGGTAATTGAACTGAGTGGAATGTTATTTGGTCTGATGGCTTTGTTGAAAGCATTAATTCCACGATCAGTTCTTGGTTCTCGGAAATGCCGGTGTGATCATACGAGTGACAACTTTTTGCCAGCCTTTTTCATTTGTTACTGGTGTTACCAATTTGAACGAAGTTTAGGATTAGCAATATTGGATTTGTGCCCGCCTGGTCACTTGTCCCAACAAGCCCTCCTCGTTGATATCATTTTTCAAGGCATAGGGCATCTCTCGGGAAATTTTGCACCTCATTTTTTCAGACCTGAGTAGGTACCGGAACCTTACCCAAGCCTATTTGAGACAAGAACGATGAGAATCTGTGCCAAATTTCAGACCAGAGTAGTATAGGAGGGATGTTTTACTCCACTTTTTTGCGCAGGAATCTCATTAGCGAGCGCAGGAATACATTAACTAGGTGACGTCCTAGGCTATTGTTGTTGATCTCATGAATAAAATGCTGTGGTATCTCATGAATAAAATGCGGTGGAATGTCATTAACTATATCCAGTTTGACGGGTTTATCAATGACGTCATGTGCTATTTTTAGATGGATGATGTCATGAACCTTACCCCAGCCTCTTTGAGACAAGAACGATGAGAATCTGTGCCAAATTTCAG